AACATTCTTTGTAAGTTCATACTTTTTGATTAATGACAATTAATTCTATTCTTCCCAATTCCGTTGATTCTTGAATTATGAATTGCGAGAAGTTTTAATTAGGGATTTGGGGTTGATGAAGAGGTTTATCATGATGTATGACTAGTTTCTTGATGGTTTGATTACATGAATGCCATTTAATTTGTGTTTGAATAATTTAACTGTTATCTTTTGTAATATGGAACCGCGGCTATAATTACAATTGCACATAAAATAAATTAAGAGAGATCTAGTTTATTCTAGGACACATTCACACACTTAATCGTTCGCTAAGAGATTAGTAGCGATTAAGGGGCCGTAAGCTCGTTCGTCTTGGCAATAATTTAGGATCCTGTCGCATGAGAGATCAGCCTGGTCCCCTAAATTATTGTACTCTACACCGCGAGAGCGGTAAGAACTTAGTATTGATTAGCTAGGCTCAATTAAATTAAATTCATGGAATTAAGCCTGATCTGTCAGAAATCTGATTACCCCGGAATCAATCCCTGTTCCCTTCGTCGTTAATTAAGAAGAACCCAAATCTTTACTTTTATTCGCTCATTCGCATTAGTTTAATTTCAATTCAACCGATCAATCTCGCACGACAATTTATTTAATTTTATTTCTTTTTAATCGTTGAATTTAGTTAATCTTTAATTCCCTTTTGTCCGTCCCTGTGGAGACGATACTCGTACTTTCACCACTATTCTACAATCTTTCTAAGTGCGAGAAAAACTCACATCAATCGTCATAGCATATGAGACAATCAAAAGAAATTTCTTCTTTCAAACTTGAAAAGCAATCTCACATCAGATGGAGTCAAAGACATTCTAGGTATCAAAACTTTCTCACCTGCACTCAACCCTATCAAAACTTTTGCTTCCAAAATATGCTTACCTAATCTAGTAATAACCATACTATTCCCATTACACAACCCTTGAGAATGATCAGTATTCCTCATTAGCATCACTGATGTTCCAACTTTAAGATGCAGTTCATGATTTGGAACTCCTGAAGCTTCAATTCCATTCAAAAATTCTGGAGTATGGATATCCGCTAAAAAGTCAAGATTTGAATCTGGTTTACACGGGCCATTTGAACTAAGGTAGGTTTTCAACTCAGAACCATTTAAGGAAAACATGTAATCATTGATGAAATCAACAACTTGGAGAGTGGGTGCCAATATTGCTCTCTTTTGTAAATAACTGGGATCTTCATGAACGACATCAACAGAAGGATAAATGCATTCAACCATTTTTGTTACAAATTTCTGAAGTCATATTTTTAGAAATTTATTATAGAAATATTATTATACTTTGTTATTTTTACCCTCAATTAAACACAAATAACTTCCGCTCCAGGGGACGTACGTCCCTTGAAGCCACTTTCCCCCTACTTCAGGGGACGTACGTCCCAACTAGAGGCTTTCCCCCTACTTCAGAAGACGTACGCCCCCAACTGGAGGCTTCCCCCCTACTTCAGAAGACGTACGTCTCCAACTAGAGGCTTTTCCCCCACTTCAGGGGACGTACGTCCCCAATTAGAGGCTTCCCCCTACTTCAGGGGACGTACGTCCCCAACTGGAGGCTTTTCCCCTACTTCAGGGAACGTACGTTTCCAACTGGAAGCTTTTCCCCCACTTCAGGGGGACGTACATCCCCAACTGGAGGCTTCTCCCTACATCAAGGGACGTATGTCCCCAACTGGAGGCTTTCCCCCCACTTCAGGGGACGTACGTCCCAACTGGAGACTTTCCCCCTACTACAGGGGACGCACGTCTCTAAGTTGAGGCTTTTCTCCCACTTCAGGGGGACGTACGTCCCCAACTGGAGGCTTCCCCCTACTTCAGGGGACGTACATCCCCAACTTGAGGCTTTCCCCCTACTTCAGGGGACGAACGTCTCCAACTGGATGCTTTCCCCCCACTTCACGGGGACGTACGTCCCCAACTAGAGGCTTCCCCCTACTTCAGGGCACGTATGTCCCCAACTGGAGGCTTTCCCCCTACTTCAGGGGACGTACGTCTCTAACTGGAGACTTTTTCCCCACTTTAGGGGAATGTACGTCCCTAACGGAAGGCTTCCCCTACTTCCGGGGACGTACGTACCCAACTGGAGGCTTTCCCCCTACTTCAGGGGACGTACGTCCCCAACTGGAGGCTTTCCCCCTACTTCAGGAGACATACGTCTCCAACTGGAGGCTTTTCCCCCACTTCAGGGGGATGTACGTTCCCATCTGGAGGCTTCCCTCCTACTTCAGGGGACGTACGTCCCCAACTGGAGGCTTTCCCCCTACTACAGGGGACGTACGTCTCCAACTAGAGGATTTTCCCTCACTTCGTCCCCAACTGGAGGCTTCCCCCTACTTCGTGGGACATACGTCTCCAACTGGAAGCTTTCCCCCTACTTCAGGGGACGTACGTCTCGAACTGGAGGCCTTCCCCCACTTCAGGAGACGTACGTCTCCAACTGGAGGCTTTTCCCCAAATTCAGGGGGACGTACGTTCCCAACTGGAGGCTTCTCCCCTACTTCAGGGGACGTACGTCCCCAACTGAAGGCTTCCCCCTACTCCAGGGGTCGTACGTCTCCAACTGGAGGCTTTCCACCAACTTCAAGGGGATGTACGTCCCCAACTGGAGGCTCCCCACTACTTCAGGGAATGTACGTCCTCAACTGCAGGCTTTCCCCTACTTCGGGGGACGTTTGTCTCTAACTGGAGGCTTTTTTCTCACTTCAGGGGGACGTACGTCCCTAAGTGGAGATGCTTTCCCCCTACTTCAAGAAACGCATGTCCTCAAATACGTATTAAGGCAACATTGTTTTTTATTAATTTGTACTCTTGAGAATCCCAAAGATCACGTACTCAAGCATTATTACATATTTATAGACTTCTTTTTTATATGGATTACCATTTGCTCCACTCACCTTTATGAGTTTTTAATAGATTAATGATATTTAATTTCAATTCTTCACTATATTGAAGTCATATTTTTAAAACTTTATTATAGAAATATTACTACGTATTATACTTTGTTATTTTTACCCTCAATTAAACACAAATAACTTCCACTTCAGGGTACGTACGTCCCCAACTGGAGACGCTTCCCCTCTACTTCAAGGGACGTACGTCCCCAAATGGAAGCTTTCCCCCTACTTCAGGGGACATACGTCTCCAACTGGAGGCTTTCCCCCACTTCAGGGGGTGTACGTCCCCAACTGGAGGCTCCCCCCACTTCAGGGAACGTATGTCCCCAGCTGCAGGCTTTCCCCTACTTCGGGGGACGTTTATCTCTAACTGGAGGCTTTTTTCCCACTTCAGGGGGACGTACGTCCCTAACTGAAGATGCTTTCCTCCTACTTCAGTAATAAACGTATGTCCCCAAATACGTATTAAGGCAGCATTGTTTTTTATTAATTTGTACTCTTGAGAATCCCAAAGGTCACGTACTCAAGCATCATTACATATTTATAGACTTCTTTTTTATATGGAGTACCACTTGCTCCCCTCATCTTTATGGGTTTTGAATAGATTAATGATATTTAATTTCAATACTCCACTATATTGAAGTCATATTTTTAGAAATTTATTATAGAAATATTATTATACTTTGTTATTTTTACCCTCAATTAAACACAAATAACTTCCGCATCAGGGGACGTATGTCCCCAACTGGAGACGCTTTCCCCCTACTTCAGGGGACGTACGTCCCCAACTGGAGGCTTTCCCCCTACTTCAGATGACGTACGTCTCCAATTGGAGGCTTTCCCCCACTTCAGAGGGACGTACGTCCCCAACTCGAGACGTTTTCCCCTAGTTCAAGAGACGTACGTCCCCAACTGGAGACGCTTTTCCCTGACTATTGGGGAAGTACGTCCCCAACACGCCAACAAGGCCCATCTGCGATGTCTGTTATTTTCTAAAACTAAGGGTATTATGGTCAATGCAGGTGTAGTTGAGTCTTACGCTAATCTTCGGTCTTAGTTTTGGAAAATTAGTACGATTTGCTCCTATTTGTAAAATTTTCCCTAGATTAATGGTATTTAATGATGATTTATGGTTTTTAAAATATTGTGGTATTTTGTTTGGTTTATGGTGCTTGAAATGATTAATGGTATTTAATGATGATTTATGGGTTTTAATATATGCCAAAAGGTTTTTTTATCATCCAAAAGTAATATTTATATTTAGGATTTGCTGGTATGCTTCCCATAGCTTCAAACCTTCAAGTACGACCTTAATTTTTGCAATTAATTACGAAGGAAATCTCTTCATTAAACTTTTTTTTTATAAAATCATGCATTGATATTTATTTATTGCTCTTATCGATACATAAACTTCAAAAAACAAAGTACAAAACCTTTTAAATAGGAATCATTCTTTAATATATATAATTATCATCAGAAAGTACAATAGTTGCACTAAACCTAAACCACATATTTTAGGTTAAAGGGTCAAATAGGTACATGAACTAACTTAAAGTGTTCAATTAACCCCTTATTTAGGAGGTTCTCTCCGACCGTCGCCAATTGGGGCGGTTCCCGATGGAATTTTTTGATGAAATGTTTTGAGCATCTTTTTCAGGAAGTCTAGTTTACCCATATCAAATTTCAGCTAAAAATGAAATAGGGAAGGCTGTCAAATGATTTTCCGAAATGTACTGTGCTATTTAACTGCGCAGTTATCTTCAAAAAATCGTTTGACTGCCTTCCCGGTTGCATTTTTATCTCAAATTTGGTATGGGTAAACTAGACTTAATGAAGAAGATTCTAAAAAAATTTCATCAAAAAATTCTACCGAGAACCGCCCCAATTGGCGACGACCGAGCAGAACCTCTTATATAAGGGGCTAATTGAACACTTTAAGTTAGTTCATGTACCTATTTGACCCTTTAGCCCATATTTTATTATAAATTTCATATGAATACAATGATATATTTCACTACATTTTTATACAATATTTCTGTAAACAATAGTTTGTTCATTACAAACCCAAGAACAAAATCTTGAAAATGGTCTTCACCATAGCTTTCCATTGATTTCCCACCGTTCTAGTCCTCAAAAAATCACCCGATCTTCTGCAATTTAGAAAGTACCACATGGTGCATTTTTGTTTATAAGCCACAAAAGATTTGCTGTCAGCACACTCTCAAAAGATTTGAATTGATACACTTCGTTCAAGAACCCCGACTCATCGTCAGTGGCGGATCTAGAAAATTTACTTATTGGGGGCATAAGTAGAGTAGTAGAGAAGAGATTTTTGTTAAGGGCACCAAAGGTTAGACATTAGAATACACTATGCATATACATAGTATAATATACGATAGTACTAAAGAGTTGAATGTTTATATTAGAACACAACAAGTAATGGTTATACACAATTATTTGTGCAAGTACTTGTGTATTTACGCTTGCCAAAAATGAACGGGTAAGGAGGAGGAGGCCCCTCTAACCCGGCCCTTCTATGGCTTGAGCCGTGTAATCTCATAGAACTCAAACTTATAATTAATTTCAAGCACAACATTATTCCAAATCATCAATTCGCAAACACATATTTTATGTGTGTAGTATTTTTTGTAAATATTATTCAGAGATGCATTCATGCCCCCCATAATTATTAGTGAATGATAAAATTAGTTACATGAGATTCTTTATGCAATTTAGACATACTCTCGTTCCGAATATCGGTTAATTAGTCCCAAAATCACTAAAGTTTGGACAATTTTATGAGAAAGCAATGTTTAAATAACAGACCTAATTTAAAATATTAATTATTACATGAAATTTAATAATTAAATTTAAAAGTAGTTTTTATACTCCGTAGTAAATATGATCGATTAAATTAAGTAGACCATTAGAATTTAATTAATGGAATTTGACATTCTAAACTTTAATTATTGGGGGCTACTCAATCTTTTTATTGGGGGCAAGCTATTTTCTAACAATTGTTTGCTTTATCATATATAAGAAATTAGAAACTTTATTGGGGGCACATGCCCCCATTCTCCAAGCAATAGATCCGCCCCTGCTCATCGTGTACCCTAACCTGAGTTTTCGAGAGAAAAATTATCTTATACTTGTTTGTAGTTGTCTTGTATTTCCTTGCATTAATTGCTACAACAAAATTGCTAATGGCATAAACTTCTCCCTCTTTGGGACGAACGTCCCCATAGCCCAAGCCACCCGAGATGAACGTCCCCATAGCCCAAGGCCCAGAGGGCGATAGGCGACAGAGGACGGCCATTGTGCTAGGGATGAACGTCCCCATAATCGAAGCCAACCGGGAAGAGTGTCCTCACCGAGGGACTTGTGTTGGGTAAATGAGACGAACGTCCCCATAGCCCAAGGCCCAGAGGACGGTAGACAACAGAGGATGGCCGTTGTCTATTGGACGAACGTCCCCATAGCCCAAGCCAACTGGGACGAACACCCTCATAGCCCAAGGCCGAGAAGACGATAGGCGACAGAGGATGGCCGTTGTTTTTGAGACGAACGTCCCCATAGTATTTCCATAAGTATTTAAATGAGACTTGTTTTTGGGACGAACGTCTCCATAACCTTATGCAGACTTTATTAAAATACTAATGGAGACGTTCGTCTCATTTGAACTTACCTTAGCATCTAATATCAATCTCAACCAAGTTTGTGGTTAAACATTACAAAACATAAAAATTGAATTGCTGTCAGCACACTCTCAAAAGATTTGAATTGATACACTTCGTTCAAGAACCCCGACTCATCGTGTACCCTAACCTGAGTTTTCGGGAGAAAAATTATCTTATACTTGTTTGTAGTTGTCTTGTATTTCCTTGCATCAATTGCTACAACAAAATTGCCAATGGCATAAACTTCTCCCTCTTTCATTGCATCCTTAAATTGTGCTATTAGAAAGCTTCGAATGATTCCATGGATACGATCTCCCTACCATTTAAAAAATAAAAAAGGTTTAGAGCACAAATATTACGTAGTAGCAATTATTAACGAATGAATTCAAGCTAACAATTACAATAAACACCTACCTCTTTGTCGTGAAACACACACTCAAGACTCCTTATTTCGCCTTCTTCACTTCGCGAATAGTACATGCGCACCAGCCGTAACCTTAAACCCCATGTTGTTGACTGGGGACATATATCCCTAATCAAACCGAACATTGCCGCCATTTCTACACAAATCTTGAATTGGATTGATGATTGGCTCGCTACTTGCTATGATGGTTCTGTGTGCTATATATACACACACTATATGGACCGGTCCTATCTTGCATTAAGACAATAAATATATGTTATTGGTAATTGGTATTTGAAAATAGTGGGATTCTAAAAGTCACCTACATTTGAAGTTCGATCCAATTTTTATGAAGTATAAATGCCACTTAAAAATTGTGTTTTAGTGGTATTCGAAAAGGCATCTTAATTTGAAGCTCGGTCCATTTGTTATTAAAATTTATTGTTGTTCTAGCATTTATTATTGCTCTACTCAATACAGCTTTTAGTAATCTGTGCAATTTTGATGTAATCCGTTTCATCCAATATTTTTGCCGTCAACACGCTCTCAAAAGGACTGCTCATATCCCGGCCAAACATTATAGCAGCACATAATTTGAACTTTGAATGTAAAATGTCGCCCAAATTCCCTCCCAACCCCCCCCCCCCCCCCCCCCCACTTTTCCGTTATATATATATATATATATATATATATATATATATATATATATATATATATATATATATATATATATATATATATATATGTTAGGGTCTATTAATCTCATACACAAAATAATGCAAAGTAAACATATGACTCTTGGTGAGTTGTAGGGGAAAAATAGTTTAACAAAGTGAAACACTGTTTTTATTGTAAATAAACTTATACTAATCAACTGAGATCGAATATGATTATAAGCTATTCAAACCAATAAACTCTAGAAACAACCCTAGTATCATACAAAGAGCGACCACCCTCGAAGGAGCAACTCAAATTGTAGACCACTTGACTGGCAATCTTAAAGCATAGCTGACCATATTGATCATCTTGCTTTTAGTTTTAACAAAACCTTCCAACAACCAACAATTCAACCTAATACAAAATAAGGTAAAACATGCAAGCCCTCGAACAAGTTTATAATTAACTTAAAGAGGATATACAAACAATAAAGCATAATATTGGACCAAATAAAACAACTATATATAATTAAAACAACAACGTGGCATTAATGTCACGTGACCTAACTTAAATTAAATTAGGACTAAAACAATTTCAAAATTCTAAAATAGGACTGTCATGTTTTTTATTCCCAAAATAGAACTAATTACTACCATGTTTAGAAAATACTGCCATGTTTGAAGTTTGGTACTGCCAAAACGTAATTAGTCCTATTTTGGGAATAAAAACATGAAAGTCCTATTTTGGAATTTTCAAACTGTTTTAGTCCTATTTTGGATAATATCTCCATATCAAAACATGTTTTCAATTGGTTTTTTCTGTACTTTAAGAAATGCTATACCTGTGCTATATACTTTATAAAACGTAAGAGGTTTATAGTATTTGTGGTAGTATTATATACAGAGTATTTTTTAAAAGTGTGTTATAGCTGATTTTAGGATCTCCAAAAAAAGAAATGAAACAATTAATTAGATATAACCAAAAAGAAAATTGACACATTTATTTTGATACAGAGAGAATATAATTCATGCAAAATGCAAAAATAGAAAAATTAAATGCTCAATGTAAAAAAGAAACTGTTCGCTAATAATACATTATATTTTGCAAGGGAGAATCTTTGGAGAGACCGAGAGAAGCCATGATCCCTGATAAAAATTAATTATATACACATGCATTAAAATTAATTTACCCCCAAAAATTAAATTATTCTCATATTGGCCCACCAACATTGTCATTCAGATTCCACCACTCATATCGCGGCTAGGGATGGGCCCGGGCCGGGCCCTGGCGGGCTTTTTTTTTCAAATTGTTGGGTCCGGAACCGGTCCGGGTTGATACCGGATCCGGGGCAAGGTAATTTTTTTTTGCTTTCTAATTAACCCCCGACCCTCCCCCCTTCACCCCCACCCACCAAACCCCCCAAAACACCCAGCCCTAACCAAGAAAAACAAAAAAATTGAAAAACCAAAAAAAAATAAAAAAAGCCCGGGCCCGGCCCGAACCGCCCGGTCCGATTCAACAAATACAGGGACCGAATCCAACCCGCCCAACCCTCCCCAACCGGGTAAAAGCCCGGGCCCGGTTAGCACCAACCGGGCCGGTCAGGACCCGCACAGTGGCGGGCCGGGCCGGTTCCGGGTTGGGCTGAACCGGTTGGGTCCATCCCTAATCGCGGTATTACCCTAAAAAACTAGTCTATGAAAAAGAAGAATATAGTAGTAAGTTTTTGAACAATTCGATTTGTAGGATATAACAATAAATTAATGATCTGGATAAGCTGTACTAGATTTGGGAGGTCAAATTAAACAAATAATAACAAATTTATGATCAACTTGCAAATTCTGCCTTCTAAGAGAACTTTGTGCTTTACGAGGCCGTTTGATGACCCTATTTTTCGGTTTATCGAGCTTATCAATCAAATTTTTCACTGAACACGTAACTTTTGATTTCGTGCACTGAATTGTGTAATACTCCGTAATAAGAAAAAGTAATGTTGGAGGTGACCACAAGTGGGATTGGATGCATCTACAACTCAACAGTTCTGGGAAGATCTTGAAGACGTGGTGCGACGAGTGCCAAAGGGAGAGAAGTTGATCATAGGAGGTGACCTCAACGGGCATGTGGGCTCAAGTCGTGATGGTTTTGGCACTAATAATGAGCCGGGAAAGAACATTTTGGATTTTGCCTTGACGTATGAGTTGGCTATAATGAACATTTGGTTTAATAAAAGAGACTCTCACCTTGTAACCTATAAAAGTGGAACTAATAGTACCCAAATTGACTACTTCTTAGTACGGACCACTTGGAGAACTAGCTACACTGATTGTAAGGTTATTCCAGGTGAGAGTGTTGTCACTCATCATAGGATGCTTGTGCTTGACTTTCGAGGTAAGAACCATAGAAGACAAGTTAAACAACAAGTGGACCCAAAGATAAAGTGGTGAAGGCTTGAGGGAGATCTTCAACAAAGCTTTACACACAAAATGGTCGGTGAAGATGTATGGCGTATTGATAATGAAACACATGTGGATGATGTGTGGTTATCAATGGAGTTGACCATTAACAAAGTGGCAAAGGAGGTACTTGGAGAATCTAAAGGATGTTTGCCACCTAAAAAGGACACATCTTGATGGAATGATGAGGTGAAACAAGCCATAAGGAACAAAAGAGATTGCTACAAAAAGTTGGGGATAAGTTGGAGTGATGAGAACATAGAAGCATACAAGGAGGCTAAAAGGGGAGCAAAGAAAGCCGTAAGGGAAGCACGAGGGAAAGTGAACAAGGAGTTGTATGAAAAGTTGGACTATAAGGAAGGAGAACTAGATATTTATAGACTTGCTCGTCAACTCCAGGAGAAATTAGGAAATCCAAATTCAACAGAGCGATCTGCAGGAAATCAAAGTTTGTTACCTCAGAAAATTGTCTGCCAACGGAAAATTTAAACACGCAACTCAAAATCTACAGGAAAACTCAAAAGAATAAAAGGCGGCACAACATGACTACTAGGTCTCAGTCAAGAGAATTTCCTTGGGTGTAGTTTTAGTCTTTTCTTTCTTTGTATTGTTTAATTTTCTTTTTTTCTTTCTCTGCTTTCCTTCTTTGTATTGTTTACTTTTTATTCAATAAAATTCGCCTTTCTTTAAAAAAATAGACTTGCTCATCTTCGTGATCGCAGGACTCAAGATATTGCAAAAGTTAAGTGTGTGAAGGATGTCGATCAGAGGATATTAATGGACGATAGAGAGATAAAAGAGAGATGGAGGTCATACTTTGATACACTATTCAACGGGAACAAAACACAAATATGAGTGATTTTTCCATACCAGATTATATGGTAAATCGTGATTTTGTGAGAAGGATCTAAACAACGGAAGTTAAAGAAGCTCAGAGGAAGATGGGACGTAAGAAAGCAATGGGTCCAGATGGCATACCGATCGAGGCTTGGAGAAGTTTGGGAGAGAGAGGCGTCGAGTGGTTAACAAGTTTCTTTAACTTGATTTGGAGAAACAACAAGATACCAACGAGTTGGAGGAAGAGTACTCTTATCCCCTTATTTAAGAATAAAGGTGATGTACAAGAATGTGCCAACTATCGAGGGATTAAGGTTATGAGTCACACCATGAAACTTTGGGAGCGAGTGATTGAGCAAAGACTTCGAAGAACTGTGAAGATTTCAGAGAATCAATTCGGTTTTATGCCTGGTCGCTCAACAATCGAGGCCATTCACCTTCTTCGGCAACTTATGGAGAAGTATAGAGACGCTCATAAGGATCTGCATTTGGTGTTCATTGACTTAGAAAATGCATATGATAGGGTACCTCGAGAAGTTCTTTGGTGGGCCTTAACTAGGAAAGGCATATCACACAAGTATATCAGTTTCATCATCGATATGTATGAGGATTGTACTACAAGTGTCCGTACTAGTATAGGGAGGACCGAAGAGTTCCCTATTACTATCAGAGTGCACCAAGGATCAGACTTGAGCCCTATTTTATTTGCCATAGTCAGGGATGAACTTACGAAGTCAATTCAAGACGATATACCGTGGTGCATGATGTTTGCCGATGATATTGTATTGATTGATGAGACACAATGAGGTCTTAAAGCAAAGTTGGAAGTATGGTGACAAACACTGGAAAATAAGAGTTTGAAACTAAGTCGGAGCAAGACAGAGTACATGGAGTGCAAGTTTGGTGGAGGTAGAAGCAGTGGTAATAGCGGAATTACTCTGGATGGTGCGGAGATACCAGTCAGCGATATGTTCCGTTACTTGGGCTCCATAATTCAGAAGGACGGTGAGTTAGATGGAGATGTATCCCATAGAATCAGAACAGGGTGGATGAAGTGGAAGAGTGCATCAGGCTTTCTATGCGATCGAGATATGCTGACTAGACTGAAAGGTAAATTTTATAGGACAGCAATTAGGCCTGCATTAATGTATGGCGTAGAGTGTTGGGCGGTGAAACAATGTCACATTCAAAAGATGAGTGTGGCAGAGATGTGCATGCTGCGTTGGATGTGTGGGCATACTAGGAAGGACCGCGTGAGGAATGAGACAATCAGACAAAGGGTGTGAGTAGCATCTATTGAAGACAAGATGCGGGAGTCGCGCCTACGGTGATTTGGTCATGTGCGTAGAAGATCGAGTGATGCACCTGTCAGACGAGTTGAGATGCGTGAAGAAGAGGCAGGGAAGAGAGGGAGAGGAAGACCCAAACAGACGTGGATTAGGGGAGTTCGAAGTGGCATGCTTCTTCTGGGGTTGGATGAGGGCATGACTTTGGAGAACTAAGTGGAGGACGGGTATTCGCGTGGAGGAGTGATCTCGTATCATCCATTTCCTTCCTCTTTTTTCCCTTGTTTCCTTATATATATAAGCATTATTTGTATCCTTTTTATTTTATCATTTTGATGTATATTCATCATCTCTTTTTATATTATCTTTTTATAATAGCTTATCTTTTTTATCTTTATTTTATTTCTTTTCCTTTTGGTTGTGATATCATATATCGATTCATGTTAGCCGACCCCAATATCTTTTGGGACTAAGGCTTGGATATTGTTGTTGTTGTAAGAAAAAGTAATGTTGGAGTTACTTTTCTACCTGTATGGCTTTATTGACTGAAGTTACCGTAGATAACCATTTTAACTATTTTTAATACTGCCTTCATTCTTAAATAAGTGCAACATGTTGAATTTTATACTATCCACATTTCATACTTTGACTACATTTTATTTATTTAATGTATTAATATTTTATTTGGAAAAAAGTAAATTTTTCTCATTGTAAATTTTCAAAATCTGATTTTTTTTTAAATTTTTTTACTAATACAGAATTATACTTTGTATATATTAATGCTCAAAGTTGTGTCTCGACAAATGTGAAAAGTTGACTATTATGATTTGTTCTTTATTTTATTAACAAAAAATATTTGTTCAAAATATAACTTTTCATATATCATTAAAATCTCTTAAAAAAAAAGAAATCAACAGAATCAGTCAATTCAGTCAATTTCAGTGTTAAGAAATGGACCTAACAGATTTTGGGGAATTGGAATATTCAAACAAAAGTAAGCATCCCGTGCATTAAACTCACATTCAACTTATCAAACATTAAAGCAGGGAACCAAAAGGCACATTTTTACAACACAGTTGTGCAGAGATGCAGAAAGACACTTGTGCCCTTTTTATCGTCAAACTTACAAAAGGGCACATTCCATTGATTTTTCAGAAGCTTCCGGTCGATATGAAACCTCACATGAAGCAGCATTATATATAAATATATTCATACATTCATGGAAACCACCCAGGCATATAGTTATTCAAAGTAGGACCTGCTGCTCCTACTGTTACTGGATCAGTTGGGTACCTGAGTACATAGGGCCGCAACAATTTAGTGCACAAACAAAATATATATGCATATACCAGTATGTATCAATTAAGTTTTCCATCATTTGCAATGGAGCCAAAGATTCACTATTTTTTGTCTTGAAAATATGATGGAATAAAGCAAAATGACTCACTAAACTGTCTGCGCTTCTTTATTGTGAAGTAATAGTCAGTCCATGTATTTTTCGACGCAATTTTCACTATGGGTCATTCGAAAACAGTCTCTCTGTGCTTTAGTACAGGGGTAAGACTGCTTACATCCGACCTCTCTACCCCACCGTAGGTGGGAGCCTTTGCGCCACCGGGGTAACGATGATGATGATACCAGTATGTATCAAGAATGTTGGGGTGAAACGGTATAAAGAACTTTACCACAAACACTGTACTCACCTTTTCCCTCGCAGGTAACTAGGTAAGGTGCATTTTTTAGTCATACACACAACTCACAACCAGATTCACATTATGGCTACGGTAATACGGTTATAAAGTCCATGGTAGTTTAGTATAATGTTATAAACAATTGTTAGATTAAAGTATAGTAAAAGATATGTTTAAGCAAAGATGAGCATTTCAAACACTAATAAGAGCTCAATAGTTCATATGTAGTCGATGTAAGGCATTATTCTAACATTGTCTACATTTGTTCTGCTTTACTCAAAACTAACCACTTATTCCAACAATTAGCAGCATCTTTTTGCCAAACACACCCATCTTGTACTTTTCCTTCCTATCCTATGTCACACAAATTTAGTACGAAGTATATCTTCAGACATCGAGGATAAACTCATAATACTGTGAAGAATGATTATCTGATGACTAATATGCAGGTTAGGCATGTTGGGACTTACCCAATCTGTAGAGTTGGCTCACACTCCAGGGGATGAAAAAAGATGTCACCATGTGGAGCATGTGTTGTTTGGCGTCCATACCCTCCCATTTCTTGTGCTGCATTTGGATTCCAATGCATATTTAGCTGGTTTCCTTCCATCAACTGAACACAAAAAATTAAGAACATTAGTTATGATCAAGAAACTATTAAAATGAGCTTATGGATAAAATTGAGGATTTAGTTAGGTAGTTCAAGTGGGTCATAATGCACATGGATAAACCAAACTCAAAACTAAAACCAATTGAATGGCTAGTTCAAACCAAGACCATTGGTCCGAACAATCCCATGGACTCTAAATTTACCCGCTTGGTTAAAACCAGTTGAGCAACCCCATAAGGTTTATTATTTCATTCTTTAATATTATGACATGGGAACTTTACCATATAAGTTAAAACCAGTTGAACAATACCAGAGGGTTTATCATTTCTTTCTTTAATATTATGACATGGGAACTTTACCATATAAGGCTATAACAATAAAATCTCTGCCTAAATGCTAGACTCTCATTGGAAGCCAGGGCTGTTCTCCACTTGGACTCTGTTTAGTACTACCTCTGTCCCAAATTGATTTGCAAATTTGACTTTTCTTGGTCAAACAGTTTCATTTTATTTGCTCAATTAGGATGTCAATTTTTAAATATATTCTAATTTAGAGTTTACAACTTTGAAGAGATTTTAATGTAGTTTCTGAATATATAAATTTTAATTATTAAAATTGAATTAATTATCGATAGGGAGCATTGACTTTTTTTTATTTGTTAACAAAAAATGTTGACTTTGCAAAACAATTTGGGACGGAGGAAGTATTTAGTTTTGGCCGATTATGCTTATCAACCTAAGGATGATTGAAAATTTTCATAAACAACTTATTTGGCTAAGATAAGTGTTATTAAGCACTTTTCCCTACGGGAAATTTAGCGAATTGAGCCCAATAACTTTGACCTCAAGGACCTTAGATCTCATCTCAATTCCATTTTTATCCTGGCTAACATAGTAACACCTATTAATCCTTGACACATTGCTTGATTCGGGCCTGAGCCTAGCCTAACCGTATGCTTTACAGCATTTCAAGAAACATCTCCATAATGTAATGAATACACATCACACATACCCTTTGTTTCAAGCTCTTGTTTGCTTCATTTAGGGCATGTTCCTGAAGAGACAATAATTAGAATAGGCTGTAAGAGCAAAGTGTAGGAAAAAATAACTACCGGAGTATATAATCTCATCACATAACATAATAGACCTGTTCATACCTTTCTCTGCAGTTCTGTTAGTTGATCTAACATCAATTGAGTCTGCAAGTATGGAAAAGTGGAGGTGTTCATTACAAGGGAAAATTCCAATCTTTATCAAACAACTTTTTGTTGGTTTTAGTTTAATCTCGAACATTAGTGAAGTTTCAATTTTAGTCCAATTGGAGGAGTAATCCAGATTGTAATATAGCACTTAAATACTTCACAGGTTTCCGGTGTGGGAATTCAAAACAATTGATCAGAACTTTCTGCATTTTCATGAAATTATTCACAAAAAATAAGAAAACCGTCAATATTTTTATCATCATCTGCTTGCAATTGCCAGTTGCTGTGAAAAGGGGTCCTTGAGAGAAAATATTACTCCGTATATAACAACTAAAATTGATAATTGATTCTGAAATGGAAGTATTCCCCCTTCATTCCATTAAACATTCCTTCATCCCATTAAACATTGTAAACTTTCTTTATTTAGTAGTCCATAAAAATCTTCATTTCTCTTTAAAGAAACAATGTTGAAGTTCATATTATTTCTCTTTTATATATACAGATCTAGATCATACAGTTTCTTTATCATTCCAAATACAAGAAAGATTGACCAAATTTTATGGGACATGAGAATTGAGGACTAATAATTAAGCTAGTCATCATTATGGAGAGGACAACTGCTTACCCTAGTTGATCTGATATGCTTCAGTGACATATCAAGCTGCCTCTCAAGAGATTCAAGATCCTTGCTGTTCAAAGGGCCAAGATCTTCCCCTAGAAGATTCCTGTTGTCTCAACCGCAAAAGGAAAGACAAATAAAATTCTGATTAGGTAGCTTTCTTTCATCTTAACTAGGTTGCCAATTTGGTACTTAGCAGGCAACATGCTTGCTTTTTTGGGGATGAAGAGATATGGTCCGCAGATCGAGTGACACTTTGAGGAGTTTAAGATATGATACTAACTCCGTATCATTCACATTGCAATGTTTTCCGTGTGTGTAAGAAGTAGAAAAACGTGTTCTTGTGTTTATGCAAGTGAAATGAGAACTACAGAGTATAAATTAATTACGGAGTACTAAAAAATGGATCAAATGGTCATGAAACTATTACCACCTCCATCCCATTAACATTGTGATAAGTTAGAAAAGTTACACATCCCCAGTAAGTGGGTTTATTAAGAAAAGTTAGTTTATATGGTTTACATTAAATTGATAAAATAAGAATAAAATAAAAATGATTTAGAGTCACACAAACTTTACTAAATTTGATACGAAAAAATCTTAATGGGATTTCACAAAAAGGAAAAAATGAGACAATCTTAACGGGACGGAGGGAGTAGCGATGTCCTTTTGTAGGATAATGCACAAACACTACCATCACAAATGGTATTGATGCAATTTGGCACTTCAAGATTTAATGGAGCAAATTAGTACCCTAGCTATATTGAAATGTTCCCATTCATGGTATCTCTTGAAATTTGATCTAAATTATTTGGAATAACAGTCTCAACTCAATGCATTTTTCCTGGTTTTTAGTTCATCAATTATTATATCGATGACACTTTTGGTCATCTTTAAATGTGTCCTCAATTATTTGAAATTTGATCTAAATTATTTGGAATAACAGTCTGAACTCAATGCAATTATTACTTTTAGTATCCTCTTTAAATGTGTTCACTTTCGGTCCTTCAACTATTGTGACAAACACTTTCGGTATCCGTATTTGAGTTTTCCACATTTATTCATGACTTTTATAAAAGTGACATTTTCAGATTTTCTTCTATCTTAAATTTTCATACAAATGAAGGACAAAAAATGTCACTATATTAAGAGTTGAAGGATTAAAAGTGCAACTTTTACATATTTAAAGAACTAAATGTGAAAAAGTCCACAGTCGAGGACCTAAAGTCTCACACATTTGAGTGATTAAAAATGGTACTACCTCCGTTCCTTAAAACTTTGCCAAGTTTGATCGGCACAAAGATTAATAAAGTAAAAACTGTGTGGTTGAAGTTTGTGCAGAGGAGAGAGAATTATCTGGAACCACAAATTCTTTACTTAAAAAGAAAAGTGTCAAAGTTAGTGAGACATCCAAAAAAGGAAAGTTGACAAAGTTTTAAGGAATGTAGGGAGTATAAGTCAGAGTGAAGTATCAATAGTGTCATTTGATACAATAGCAGTGAAATGAAAGTGACAAAAACTCATACTTTTCATATAAAAATTATGTGAAATTGTTGAGACCAGCGTTCCATTCTAAAAAGAACCTTAAAAATATTAGTAGTCTAATATTTTATTGTTTTATTATCCGGCTCGCACTGGACTGGACAATATCAAGATGTTTAAATGGGTTAAATAGATCCTAAACAAATTATCATTAATGAGTGCTAAAAATGCATCCAAACCGCAATCATATTTGACTCTAATAGCATGTTAAATTGAGATTTCACCCTAAAAGGTAAAGGTCAACATGAATGCTAATATAGTGCTCCCTATATTACCGGAATAAAAGAATAATATTTCATAAGGTCTAATAAAAAGGTCATATATTTCCAAAGCAACATATATTGTTGAAGTGAAACATTCCAGAGGGTCTAATTTCTTGAATTAAATATACCTTTGTGATCTCTGCAAAGCTTCATATCTTGCTTTCAGTTTTAGATACTCATGCTGACTACTAATCTCCTGCAACCATTTATGACCATATATACAAAATTTAAAGATATAATATGCGCACACATAATAATGTAAATTGATGTTCTAAAAGATAGGAGACGTGTCAATACGTCAATTCAAAAGTTAGGCGAGAATAACTGAAACCTAGATGTGACAATGCATTATTATGGATTTTTTGACAATTACTACTCTGTATATTGATATATAATGAAAAAAGAATAAATGTCAAAAAAATATTTTACAAGATTGAGTCTAATTTTTACATTATTCAATATGAATAATCTTAAAATGTATATAAAAAGTACAAATTAAACTTATACATACTCCGTATATCATTGCTTTTTAGTACTTCGTATTAGATTTCATATACGTAGTACCACGTGTAACATGTTGATAAAAGGGATTTTTCAAAATTTAATCAACTCTTTCTTTTCAAATAATAATTTATCTTAGTACACTTTCACGTCTTGGTGATCAACTCTTTAATTCATCATAGATATAGGCTATGTTTGGCATGCATAAGTCCATGTCTTCTAGTTTTTGTACTATTTAAAAAGTCGTTAAAAGCTTCTAGTTGTATGTTTGTCATGTCAATTTTTAAAAGTTTTTATAAAAATAAAAAATCTTTTTTGAGATGCTACGGTGAGTAGCATCTTAGATAAGTCAGTAGCTTCTAGTATTAATTACTCTTAACAGCTTGTATACCAAACATAACTAAATCAAACAGTCACTTTTTTACCAACAGGTAATGCCTTTTCTTTTTAAGATCTTTTCAATCACTAAAAGCTAACGGTTACTACTAAAAAGCTCATAAAATTATCTTTTCAGCTAATTGTGTCAAACATACCCATAAAATCGCATTGAACATTTGAACAAGTACTCGTATTAAATAAATTGAACCAGGATTCAATAAAATTTTCTCAATACATGGCAAGTATAACATTTGAACCAGAATTAAGGGCGTTTGGCCCTAACTTGCTTAACCCGGATACATTTTAATTGCTATTAATAGACTCGACTGAGTAAAGCCCCGATTTTTTAAGTATTGGATTATGTTTGGAATCGAATTGGAGTAGGGTTTTATCTAGAATTTTTTATTTAGGGGCAGAACCCTAGAAGTAAGATGTGTAAGTTATGTCTAATGCACATCAAGTATTTTTTTGAAAAGGAAAAAGGATCAAATAAGCGCTCGAATTAACTTAAAAGTGCAAATCACCCCTTATATAGGAGGTTCTGTCCAGACGTTTCCATTTGAGGCGATTCCCGATGAAATTTTTTGATGAATTTTTTTGAACATATTATTCATCAAGTCTAGTTTACTCATACCAAATTTCAGCTAAAAACCATTCAAGAAGGCAGTCAAATAAATTCTTGAAGATAATTGTGTAGTTAAATAACACAGTACATTTCAGAAAATCATTTGACTGTCATCCATGTTGAATTTTTATCTGAAATTTGATATGGGTAAACTAGACTTAATGAAGAAGATGCACAAAAAAAGTCATCAAAAAATTCCACCGGAAACGGCAACCGCCCCAAATGGTGATGATCGGACATAGCCTCATATATAAGGACTTATTTGCACTTTTTAAGTTAGTTCGAGAGCCTATTTGACCTTTTTCCTTTTAAAAACCATCTAAAACCCTATATGACTCCCTTAAGGAGTCATATAAGGTATTGTGGCACCACCATCACCATTCATTTATTTTGTGGGGTCTTTCACTACATAAATGAATGATGATGGTGAGGCCACAATACTTCGGAGTCATATGGGGCTCCTTAACATTTTTGTTTTTTGACTTAGATACATCTCCAAAACCATTTCTTCCAATTTCAAGAATTTCCACACACAAAAAAATGGGTTATAAACTTCCCCTTCATGTCCAAGTATGTACACAGGATTTCTGATATCAATATATCATATCACGCAATATGACTTCATGTGATCATGTACGTTCTTTTTTTGATAATCCACGTGTCGGGGCTTACGCTCCCATAATCTTGCAGTCTATGAACTACCCTCCAGAGCTCTTAGATAGTTAAATCCGGATCTAATCACAGTCATACTCATCAGTACTGGCTCCAAAGGACGAATGCAGTAGGACTTACATCACCTTTCAGACTGCTCCTCCCACCACACGAACCCGCTACCTTCATTACCATCCTCTCCCTTCTCAACCACTGAACAACTCCGTGAAGGTAGGAAGAATCATTGGGAGCAAGATCTCCCTTATCTCCCCTTGGTGGGAATTGAACCCAAGACCTCCCACAAAGGAGAGACTTTGGGTGGATGGTCATCCATTGGACTACACCCACCAACCCCATCATGTACGTTCTTTGAACAATAGGATGTGGCCGTCATATATATTTGGGTATAGCCATGTACTACCTCCGTCCCACTAAGATTCGGACAAAAGAAGGTGACACGATTATTAAGAAAAATGGGATTGTGTAGTTGATATTAAATTGATAAAGTAAGAATAATGTAAAAATAATTTAGAGCCAGACAAATTTTACCAAATTTGGTATGAGACAATCTTAATGGATTTGCCGAAAAGGTAAAATGAGACAATCTTAGCGAGGACGGAGAAACTATAAAATTAAACTTGAAAAAACAATACAACTAAAGCATATATGCTAAGAATGTATATAGCATTTAAATATTTATGCACTTCCCAGAGTAGAGACAAAAGTTTAGCAAAGTGCTTTGTAACTTCTATGATATTTTCAGAATGTGACCTTTTGTTTCTTTTTCAGTTTTAAGATTTCTTGTAGTTTGTGTTTTCACAGTGGATAAGTTCTAATACCCCTTGGACTTGAAGAATAACGTCCTGGACCGTGTCATCCAACGAATTGTACTTGTATTGATCTAAACAAGACTTATACACGAATTATCCTACCCAAAAATACGGACATTACAATTTAGAGAGGTTAGTAATAAACACATAGCTTCTAATTGTCATCTTATTATCTTATCTTTCTAATAAATTGGTAAGGTGTTCCCTGGCCCGTACCCCACTTTCAAGTGGCTTAACACCGGGTTAAAAAAAATCATCTTATTATCGACATTTCCATTGAAAGTTTGATAATATGTTTACTTAATTGTTTTTTTTTTTAAATGGACAATTTCATTTAGTAGTAAAGTACTGCAATCTTGAATCATACTATATCATATTTTAGTATAATCTAGAGTAGTATTAATTCCAAAATATAACAATTTTGTCAAGTAATCACTCATATCTAGGAAAATATGTAATACCACTAGCTCTGTCCCCTAAGTAGAATTATACTATGTATGATTTATTGTGAATTGATAAAATGTAAATAAAATAAAAATAAGTTACAATCGTCCAAATATTATCAAATATGATAAGAGCTAAATTTAATGATATGAATGAAAATGGTAAAATAGGATAAAGATAGGGGAATGAGGGACTACTATTTAAGAACACTATTACTTTTACTTCTATATAGTTCCAATTCTTTTTTGCCCTTGATTATGAAATTACTGCTAGCACACGTAGTATTATTAATAGGAATCTTATGGATAACGACATGGTTACATGCATGAGCATGAATCTTATGGGTGACATGTGAGATAAATCCGTGATAAAATTCATGACAAAAATGATGTTTTTTTGTAGTGACTATCATCATACTAGAAAGTGAAATATCAAAATGATATGATCAATGAGGTTATTGTGAAAATACTATTACTTCTATTGGAGTATTGGGCACTATACTTCATCCTTTTATCCATTATTTTCATTTTGGTCATAATTTTCTCATTACTTCTAGTAAATGACTTCTAGTAGCATATTATCAATATACCTAGAAATAGAATCACACCATGGAGATATACAAACATGCATCTCCATTATATCTTATTACTCCATCACAAACATGGCTTCATAATTTCAATGGTCCTAACCCATCCCAATTTTTACAAAAATGTTGACTTTATGTCATTGTGATTTTGAATATTTTCAAAAAGGTCTGTGATTCATTTTCTCACAAAGTGGGTATGTGTTTTCAATCCTTTAGCACTTATGGAGTCTCGGTCTAAACTCATTTTAAAAAAAGGTGATGTGTCACTTTTGTAAACATTCACGTTACCTTCTTTTTTACGGCGTTTAGACAGAGAGCCATAAATTGAAAACACATATACCCCAAAATATGAAGGGGTATAAACAACTATGGAAGTGTTCAAGTGGAAGTGCAGAAATAATTTTAAGTACTCAAATTACACCTAGAAACAGTTTTTGAAATGCTAAGGGCGACTAGCTTTTATAAAACTGGTTCTCATGCTTTCAAAAAAGAAGTAAAAGTTTGATCAATTTCAAACACTCCTTACTCGGTACAATTTTTATTAGTTTTTTAAAAGTATTACTAAAATAAAACTTATTTAAACAAATATGACTAATAATACTACAATGTAGTGTCATGCTAACTTAAGTTTAAAAATTAAACGTAAGCTACTATACAATGATTTCATTACTACTCTAGTCACTAGTCATACTTTTATAAACAATTTTTATTTTAGCCTTAATTATTTCTTTTTATTACTCCTCCCTCTTAAGTGCACTAGTATATGTTTTCTTTTTTAAATTACATTAGACATAATTTTGATATGTTTAACACTCCCCTACTGACTAAAATAACGCAACAACAATTCTTTTATAGATTTTCTCCCAAGTGTTGGTTTTTTAAAGCTTAATCAATGCAGCCATACAGTAAGATATTACTTTAACTATGAAATTAGTGGAACATATTTTTCTTATTACATTCCCACAATAAAGAAATCATACTAAAGGAAATATATAGTGAGTTGAGAATGCTTGTTTACCAGAGCCTCCCTTGACGATATATTTGTTTCTGGAACTCCATAGTTACACTTCTGGTACCTCTCTAATGTCTTGAGCATGCTGGAGAGAAGTAGTATACATTTATATATTAATTAGTTTTAATATTTAAACCTTCCATTGTAATTTCTTGTTCACATACACTTCATAAATGTTTTTGAGTTATTTTGTATTTTTTTCGCACTGAATTAATTAGTTTTTTTTTTAAATTTTCCATGAAAAAGGGGAAATGAACAAAATGAAAATATTACTAGTACTACGTATGATTTAATTTGAAAACACTGATAGATCCTCGGAGGAACCTGCAGACTCATCCAGGAACTGGATATTATACTGCCTGTGATTCAAAAATCTAATACCAAGAAAATCAGATTAGACAACATATATATCATGTCAACCAACTGATTTATATCAAAATCTATTTAATTGACCTGTGAACAAATTGAGAACACAAGAGAGATCCTAACAACTTGTGAATGTACCATGGGCATAATAATTGTTATTTCACCAAAAAAAAAACCCTATAATTAAATACTGTTGAGTGCAGACTTTAAATAATCCAGCCTCCAAACACCTAAATTTCACAGTAGGTTAGTTCTTTGCTAATCTCACTTTTTGTTAATTAAGGGGGGTGAAATTAAAAGGTTCAGAGTAGAAGATTAACTCTAAAATGGAACAAAATTGTGATTTTGAAGACACAACTTCATCATTAAGGCTTTTCTTGATCACATGGCCACTAAACAATAGGTTTCCAAAAGAGAGAGAGTTGAAATTAAAACCCTAGCAAGCTAGCATAATCAAAAGTTCAAAACCAAGTTACTAATAGTGAACCATAAAATGACTGAAGACTTTTAATGAAAGAAATTACTGAAGGATTTACCAAATATCATCTTCAAGATCCAATCTTTAGCTGAAGTAATGATAATCTTACATGAGGAAATGGAAAATGTAATACGGAATTATAGAAGAAGAAATATGTGTGTGGTGTTTATATATATCTGAAAAACAAGAAAAGGTAAAGTACGATTCAAAATTGTCATGTGAAGTACAAAAGAAGAAAGAGTAGAAAAGATGAAGACTTATGGTGGGAAGAAGGAGAGAAGAAGACAAGAGGGCATCACAAGAAGAGAGAAAAACTCAGCATAAATAGAAAATATTTTTTCTAATTTTTAAATTATCTTCTTTTCATGGTTTCCTCTTGCAGATCTAACAAGCCCTTCAAGCACAAAGTTCTATACACACAAAAACAATCACCAAAATGGCAAATCTACTACACCAAAAAACATAACACTTTCCCTTTACATTTCTTAGTCATTTGGATCTCTAAACAAAAGGAAATACTAATAATTAGTAATTAACAAACAATTTAGTGAAACATAATAAAAGAAAAAACATTCCAAGAAAAGGGGTATCCTTTATTTCCTTAAAGATGAAATCTTTGTTAATAAATTAACTTGGTTTTTACAAGAAAAACAAAAAGTTCCGTATAATTTTCATTTTCTTGTAAGTTTATATACCTAGAGCTACTGCAGAACTCGTAGAGCTTTCCCCTATTGGAGAAGATGATGAGAGCAACCTCAGCATCACAAAGAACAGAGAGTTCATAAGCTTTTTTCAGCAGACCATTCCTTCTCTTAGCAAAGGTCACTTGCCTATTGATCTTGTTTTCTATTCTCTTCAGCTCAACCCTACCCCTTCCCATTCTTGATGCCTCTCGAACCCACCCAAAAACGTAACTTTTATTTTTCTACCTCTACCAATCTTTATTATCTTTATAAAAAAATATATACCCACAGAATGAAGGAAAAGATTCACTTGCAATAATATGCATTTATAGCCTCAGCTTGTGATAAACTGATAATACCAGTATGTATTTATAGCCTCAGCGGCTGCATTCTCTTGCAGAAGGGTCTCTCCACTGTGTTATGCTTCAATTCTTTATTCTTTTAATTTTCTTTCTGACTTTTCAGAATTTTTTCTTGTTGGAAAATTCTAGGGATAAGTGGAAAATTGAGTGTAATCATAATCATTGCAATTTATATTTGTAGGATTTTAAAATGAAATAGGGAATGTGATGATAACATTAATTGTTATTGGTTTTTTTATTCAGTGATGAAAAATGATTGTACGGTAATATATATTAACCCCGTCTTCAGTAATTCTTCTAACTTTAAATAAATTGACACACTTATAAATAAACTGGAAATGTAATATTCAGGTTGAGGTGAAAAAAAATGAAAGTCAAGCACTAAAAATGGAAAAAATAAAAGTCGAGTATCAAAATTGTCAATGACATAATAGTCGGAGGACTAAGAGTGGAAAAACTCTTTTATAACATTATGAAGTTCTCTAGAGAAGTGTTGAGTTCTCTATAATCACTTGGTATGTGCGGAAGCCTCTAAAACATTCTTAAGAAATTTGAGGTCCACTAGTTTCTTCGAGAAAATTATAAAAACTTATGGGTGCTTCCTGGAACATTCTGGAAGTATTAAGGGATACATAATGCTCTAGAGAAGACTAGTGTGCTACTATAGAGAAAAGTATAAATAGGAAATAGACTCATCATTCATATATGTGAACCTAAAAGAGAACTCTTAATAATGCACTTGTAAGTGAGAGCAGAGAGGGAGCCTGCTTGTGAGATAAGAGAAACCAATGATGTCACGTGATGAGCGTGATTAAAATCACGCTCAAGGGTGAGATGAGACCATCTGAGGAGGCTTTCATAAGCTACTATACCCGTATACTAAGCTAGCAAAATATCTTTTGTCCACTCAATTGTATAATACAAAGTCATACTCCCTCTATCCGATAAAACTTGATTAGTTTGATTTTTCTTGATTAATGATAATAAAGTTTTGCCAACGATTTTAGTTATTAAATTTGCATGAAACTTACAACTTTTATACTCTTATGAAAGTAATTTTAAAAAGGCTAAAGGGTCAAATAGGCCCCTGTACCTTTCCGGATTGTTCAATTTGCCCCCCGAACTCAAAAAAGCTCCAATTGGCACACTGAACTCCCTAGCCGGTCACAAGCCGGTCACCGCCACATCACTCGACTGAAATGCTCAATTTACCCCCTCAACCCTTATTTTTTTTTTTGACATTTTTTAGGGTTGAGGGGGTAAATTGAACGATTCGATCGGGTGACGTGACGGTGACCGGATTGAAACCTGCAAAAAGTGAAATTTGAATATTTTTATCGAGTTCAGGGTGCTAATTGGAGCTTTTTTGGGTTGAGGGGGCAAATTGAGCAATCCGAAAGGGTAACCGTGGAATGTTTCTCACCAGTTTGCCTAGCCTCGTCGGAGATTCTTTAGTACGGCTATGATATTACTTGATTGTAGGGGTGGGCGTGGTTGGTTAACCGTGTTTTGGTTAACCAACTTTCCGGTTAATCGAGAAACCTATTACTTCGGTTAACCGAGTATCGGTTAACCAAAGCTTCGGTTAACCGAGTATCGGTTAACCAAAACTTCGGTTAACCACAAACCGGTTAACCAAAAACCATCAAACCATTGATTAAATATATACACACACCATGTTCTTTCTATATTAATTAAGTCCAAACAAGAGAAAAATAAATTTTGAGAGTGGAATACAGGAAAAGATAAAATACACTTAATAAGAATAAACGTGTTCAATTGCTTCAAAAAAAGAATACACATGTTCAAGTCTCTCGATTGCAGAATGGGCTAATTAATTATAACTCACAAAAGCTTTGACTAATTATTAATAATATGAAATTAAAAATTCTACAGTGACAAACAGAATTTGGTTTCTTCACATGTTTATTAGAATTGATGTATCTAGATGTGTTGGATACATATTTATCTTTCCAAGTTCTCTGAGAACGTGAAGTTCATGACCAGACATGAACATACCGGTTATTGGTTAACCGATAATAACATATTTCTAAAACCGTAACCGTACCGCGAAACGTTTATTCTCACAGTTGGTTAACCGTACCGTGGATTTAAAAAATTGCGGTTCGGTTAACCGGGAAAAATGGCGGTTTTCCGGTTTTTAGGCGCGGTTATACGGTTACGGTTTTTTATGCCCACCCCTACTTGATTGTTCTTCTGTTGGTATAGTAGGACTATGATATAATTTGATTGTTCTTCTCTTGAGTAAGGACCTGCTGATGAGATAGAAGCAATATGCCGTTACCAATCAACCAGATAAAAATTGGTTTAAAAATCGATTTGGGATCGAATGAAAAGGAAAATAATTTAAATACCTCAAACTTTGAAAAGATGTGATGTAAGCTCTCTAAACTTTCATGTGTAATATTTATACCCCGAACTTTATATAAAAGAAATATTAGTACCACGAACATATGTTTTTTCTTTTCACAATGTAAATTTAGGATGTTTTTACTTGGATTGTTTTCAGTCCCAAACGAGACCAGACTTCAATAGTTATAAAATATATATATAGACTAGATATTTACAAAACCAGACTAGTTCAGACCATACTGGACCAGACCAGCAAATTTCAGTCCAAGTAAAAACATCCTTATGATGCTTTAACTACATCTCTATAAATGTTTATGTATTTTAAAGCATGTGCTTAACACCATAAGTTTACATTTTTGAATAAAGAAATATTATCCTCCATTCTTTAAAAATTCCAACAGTTTGACTTTCACGTTTGTCAACACACAACTTTGACTATAATTATATTTAATTACGTATTTGTAAACATTACAAAAAGTTTATTTTTTGAAAATTTACATTATTAGAAATTTAGTAACATTTTATACAGAATAGTTTGATTATATATATTATTAGAAGATCGTAGTCAAAGTACGATGTGTGAATAGTACAAAAATCTCAATGTTGCAAGTTTTAAAGAATGGAGGAAGTACATAGTAATAATGCTAACATAACTTTTTGTGTAAGTTCGGGGTATTTATATTAAATATGTAAGTTTATGATGCTTACCTCACACCCATGTAAATTTAGGATGTTTTTACTTGGATTGTTTTCAGTCCCAAACGAGACCAGACTTCAATAGTTATAAAATATATATAGACTAGATATTTACAAAACCAGACTAGTTCAGACCATACTGGACCAGACCAGCAAATTTAAGTCCAAGTAAAAACATCCTTATGATGCTTTAACTACATCTCTATAAATGTTTATGTATTTTAAAGCATGTGCTTAACACCATAAGTTTACATTTTTGAATAAAGAAATATTATCCCCCATTCTTTAAAAATTCCAACAGTTTGACTTTCACGTTTGTCAACACACAACTTTGACTGTAATTATATTTAATTACGTATTTGTAAACATTACAAAAAGTTTATTTTTTGAAAATTTACATTATTAGAAATTTAGTAACATTTTATACAGAATAGTTTGATTATATATATTATTAGAAGATCGTAGTCAAAGTACGATGTGTGAATAGTACAAAAATCTCAATGTTGCAAGTTTTAAAGAATGGAGGAAGTACATAGTAATAATGCTAACATAACTTTTTGTGTAAGTTCGGAGTATTTATATTAAATATGTAAGTTTATGATGCTTACCTCACACCCATTTAAATATTTACGTGATAATGATTTTGTTTATATCAAAATAATGCGGAGAATCCATCTCCCCTTACAAAAATATTATTATATTTATTAAATTTGTCACGATTTGAAAATATAAACATAGTTTTTACTTACAAACACATACTCCGTAGTTATTAAATATTTACAGTCGAAAATAAATGGTCAAATGTACAAACTAACTGTTAGAACTAAATACTCCTTCTGTTCCTATTATAACTTTCAATTTTCCTTTTTCGTCCGTTCCAATTAAAACTTCTATTTTCCTTTTTTGGTAAAGAATTTGTGATTCACAACATTTCTTACACATTTCTTACACATTTCTCTCTCCTCTGCACAACTCTCAATCACACAATATCCACTATCTTAAATTGTGTGTCAACCCTATTTGAAAGTTATAATAAGAACGGGGTAGTAAGAAATAAAGGATCTTAACATTTTTGTGTCTAGAAGTACTCCATAGAGAACTACTCTTTTTTAAAGTGAATTTAAAATAATGTTTGATGTACCCACTCTTATACTCACCTTGTATCCACAATGTTTGTGAATTTTTTTTTGTGCAAAAAAAAGAAAACATTTTTTTGTTTGTGCAAAATATTGTCTGTGAATTGATGTTTATAAACAAAAAAAACTTTCACAAACGTTAGTGAGTACAAAAGCGGATATAAGAAGCGGTATAAACATCATTTTTGATGTGAAATGATTAGGTGTAGGGAAAGGTGTGTGGTGCTTGAAAAGGTAAATCGGACGGCGGAGAGGTGAGTGGTAAAGAGAAGGAAAGGGCAGATGAGGATGGTGGACCAAAGAGTGGACATGTGGGGTCACAGGGAAACCTTAAAAGCCCGTTGAGGTAAATCAGTGTACATGGCCACGTGACACAACTTTATAGTGAAAATCGAGTTCTTTTTAACATAAAAAAAATTCTGAGTATTTGCACATTTTTATATACCAGTGGTCCACTACACATGTTTATAAAGAGTTCATTTTTTATTTGCAAATAGTCTTATTGACACTCTAAACATGGCTGTGAACATGTTTTATCTATGAATAAGTTATTGAAGAATAAAAATAACATGTTAGAACACATATATTGGTGTGTACAATAAAGTAGGGTGGACAAAAATACTGAACTAGCATGGTATGATA